CATTGCTGAGGTGTCACAGTGCCATATGTACTCCGTACTGTGGTAAGGGAGGGTCCTCTTCCCATCTCAGACCGATGACTTCCACGCGAGGCTCGTGATACGGAGTGCTAACCCGCGAAACCGAGTGATCTCGCTCCACTGAGATGCTGCAGGAATACCGACATTTCTTGGGAGCCTTCAACCAAAGACGCTTGTTTTCGTCGCTGCCTGGCACTTTGAGACAAGTTGGGCTGCTGTTCCCGCGAATTAGATTGGGAGCTGCCTGCTGAATGTCTAGGGCGACCCCAAAGAGCCTCCCATTCTTATTTGGGCGCCAAGAGCCCGTGACACGGAGCCTGGGGCCTGAGTTGGCGGCTACCGCGATTAACCCAGCCACAGGCGCAGGCGCAGGCGCATCACAAGCAGAGGCACAAACACCGTCACTTCCATCCCAAGATTTGGCCAGCAATTCCCATATCAACCCACATCAACACCAACACCACCAGCGCCCGGTCGCAGCACGCACATCCCTCGACCTTGCTCTACAGTCATCTGCACGAAGCAGCATAGACTTGCTCCGCTCAGACTTGAGGCAAGATCCTGTTCCACTCAGCTTTGCCCCAGCCATGGCGGCCACACCGGGGGGTTATTCGTGAGTGCCTGCGCAATGTCAACGGTTACTATCGCAGTCATGCTGACAACCCTTGCAGGGTCAATGTGAACGATCCGACGCTCATCGCACTCGTCAACAAACTGCAAGATGTTTTCACAACTGTTGGAGTATGTCGTCCGTCCTTTGGATTATCCCGATGGCCAGCTGTGGCATCTGACCGTGCTCCACTAGGTCCAAAACCCCATCGACCTGCCTCAGATTGTCGTGGTAGGCTCCCAGTCGAGTGGAAAGAGCTCGGTGCTTGAGAACATAGTGGGAAGAGACTTGTGAGCATGATCTACACTTCTACTATCTTCGGACCCCGCCGCCGATGCCTAACTCCTGCCTCAGTCTGCCCCGAGGGTCCGGAATTGTTACACGTCGACCGCTCGTCCTGCAATTGATCAATAGACCGGCGCCAGCTAAGCTGCAGACGAATGGTGTTACCGAATCAGAACTGAAGGACTCCTCCGACAAACAGGCCAACGTCGACGAGTGGGGAGAGTTCCTCCATCTGCCCGGCCAAAAGTTCTATGACTTCAACAAGATCCGAGATGAGATAGTCAAGGAGACAGAAGCCAAGGCAGGCAGGAATGTCGGCATCTCGCCACAACCGATCAATCTGCGGATCTATTCACCCAACGTCCTTACGCTGACACTGGTCGATTTGCCCGGTCTGACAAAGGTGCCGGTCGGAGACCAACCCAGAGACATCGAGAAACAGATCAAAGACATGGTTCTTAAGCAGATTGCGAAGCCCAACGCTATCATCCTCGCGGTCACAGCTGCCAATGTCGATCTGGCCAACTCGGACGGATTGAAACTGGCCCGAGAAGTCGATCCGGAGGGCCAGAGGACTATCGGTGTCCTCACAAAGATCGATCTGATGGACGCTGGCACCGACGTGGTCGACATTCTTGCCGGCCGAATCATCCCTCTCCGACTGGGTTACGTCCCCGTTGTCAACCGAGGCCAACGTGACATCGAAAACAAGAAGCGAATAGATCTGGCGCTCAAAGCCGAGAAGGAATTCTTCGAAAACCATCCTTCTTATCGGAACAAGGCGTCGTACTGCGGCACACCGTATCTGGCCCGCAAGCTCAACCTCATTCTTATGATGCACATCAAGCAGACACTACCGGATATCAAGACCCGCATTGCCTCCTCCCTGCAGAAATACAGCCTCGAGTTGGAACAGTTGGGCGCGGGCGATCTCCTCGGTAACAACAGCTCAAACATCATTCTCAACATCATCACCGAGTTCGCCAATGAATACAGAACCGTGTTGGAAGGAAACAGCTCCGAACTGTCAAGCAATGAACTGTCAGGCGGTGCCCGCATTTCCTTCGTCTACCACGAGCTGTACTCGAATGGTATCAAGGCAATCGATCCTTTTGAGCAAGTCAAGGACATCGACATACGTACGATACTCTACAACTCCTCCGGCTCATCGCCTGCCCTGTTCGTGGGTACCACCGCCTTCGAGTTGATTGTCAAACAACAAATTCGACGGCTGGAGGAGCCTTCTCTGAAATGTGTTTCCCTGGTCTACGACGAGCTGATTCGCATTCTCGGCCAACTCTTGCAGAAGCAGCTGTTCCGGAGATATCCCCAACTCAAGGAGAAATTCCATGCTGTTGTCGTTTCCTTCTTCCGCAAGTCTATGGAGCCAACGAACAAGCTGGTCAGGGACCTCGTGGCGATGGAAGCATGCTACATCAACACTGGCCACCCAGATTTCCTCAACGGTCATCGTGCAATGGCTATTGTGAATGACCGACACAACGCAAATAAGCCAACTCAGGTGGATCCCAAGACTGGCAAGCCGCTTCCACCACAGGTACCACCGAGATCGGGATCGCCCAGCTTGCCTACCGATGGTTCGGAGACCAACTCTGGTTTCTTTGGCTCGTTCTTCGCTAGCAAGAACAAGAAGAAGATGGCAGCCATGGAACCGCCGCCAGCCACGCTTAAAGCTAGTGGAACCTTGTCAGAACGGGAGAACCAGGAAGTAGAGGTGATCAAGTTGCTGATCAACAGTTACTTCAATATCGTTCGGAGGACGATGATCGATATGGTGCCCAAGGCAATCATGCTGGCCTTAGTGCAGTATGTTCACCCATCCCCGTGCTCCACTGATCATTGCTAACCATCGCACAGGCATACCAAAGACGAAATGCAGCGAGAATTGCTTGAACAAATGTACAGAACACAGGAGCTCGACGACCTTCTCAAGGAAAGCGACTATACCATCAGACGACGCAAGGAATGTCAACAAATGGTGGAGAGCCTGGCCAAAGCTAGTGAAATTGTCAGCCAAGTGCAGTAAAGTGTTAGCGAAGAAGAACGATTTTCTCACTGCGGTATTTGCTTTCCGAGGAACCAGGATGCTGTACCATTCACCAACTCAAGCTGCAGAGGGCGGCATCTCGAGCTCAGCGGAGTATTGGAGGAGAGGTAACGGAAAGATCCGGCGGAGGCGGTCCGATAACGAACGGCGAGCGGTCAATATCACTATCTGTGCACCTGTTCGCGATGCAATCATCAACAACTATGATACCACAACCTGCTGGCGCCTCTATCTGGGATTGTTTTTGGCCTTGGATTCCAGCACGGAGCTAGAATAGAACCGGATGATCAGAGTATGACACAACAACAGAGCCGGCTTGACTGGCAGTGACAGCGAGCAGCACGTACATGCATGCGTTCGAGGGTTGGATTTGATAGCGAGAGAGTTTCCAGCCTTTGTACACAGTAGACGTGTCCCCTCGCCCGGCATTGTCAGGATAGACGGTCGAGGAGCAACCATAACACCTGAATCCTTCGTCGCCTCGGGTGAGCTGACGGCTAGGTCTATACATGCCTTGGAATGCCAACCTCTCTGCCCAGTTTTGTCAGCCAAATGTCGGAGAGTTGCGTTTCTTGCACGGACCCGAATATCGATCCTCGAGTTTGCCGGATGCCGCCTCGTGCCGGGCCGCTTCAACTTGCAACGTTTGCAGCGCTAAATCCTCCGTAATTATACCTAGCATCCCTGTCCTGTGATGGCAATGCATTACATGATTATGATTCGCCGCTCTCGCTAGGTGCTGGCATCAGCCTCTCGAACAGGGAACATCGTTGTCAAAGATGTTCCGGTCCGGGCGGAGCTAGCTAGCCGATGCGAGGTGTAGACGGCGCAATGAACGGTTGGCGTTTCTCCAGCCTCGCATCGCTTCAAACCTCAATCCTCTGGTCGAGATCTTCAGACCAGCCGCGAGGGTGATATCAAGCTCCCTACGAAGAATCGGCAAGGAGGCTGCGTGTGTTGGCGTACGATGGAAGGCCCAGGGCGGACAGCATCTCGCAGGATCAGCAATAGAATCGTTGTTTTCGTCTCTACCTTCTCCGTTGAGCAGCAGCGGAGCTGAGAAAGCTCGGAACTTCTGATCCATTCGACAACGTCAACAGGCCGTGGATACGACATGTGAGGGCCTTGCAGATTATGCGTCTGGACATGGATGAGTTGATGATATGTATCCCGGGAGACAAATGCTCGTCGGACAGCTCATTATATAAGGGGCTCTTGCACCTTCATGGCGGACTGCAAAGGGCAAGTTCATCCATTTGCTGAGTTGACCTAGCATTCACGAGATCCTCATTTCTATCACAGATCCTCATTTCTATCACAGATCCTCATTTCTATCACAGATCCTCATTTCTATCACAGATCCTCATTTCTATCAC